AACTTTGTGTGTCAGAAACAGTGTTAAAATCAGCCGTGCAAAAAAAGGGACCAAAGCCCTCCTGCGCCAGGGGTTCGGCTTTACACATCTGTTAGTCGGGTGTGCTCAGCCCGAGTTTCGGCCGGACGCTGATGTGCTGCCCAGTGCCCTGCAGCCCCAAACCCGGCCTGGCTCCAGCGTAAGAGGAGACACGGTTCTTTTTTTAGATGATGCTCATTTCAAGAAACTCATCCTGCTTCTTTTGCAATCCCTTACTTAGGAGCTGTTACCTTCCTGCGGGTGGGCGCTCTGGGCTGCAGCCGGACACCCACCCCTGTGCCACCCCCACCGCTGCTGCCAGCGCAGAGCTGTTATAAAGGGGCACGAATCCACTCTGAATTAAACTGCTGTGACAGCATGTACCAGGCTGTGCCGGGCTGCCACAAGATTAGCAGGGACGAACCCAGTGGCCTTTGCTCCACACCGCGTGCTGTGCCCAGCAGTGCTGGCTGCCCACCTCCTCCCCTGCCTGCACCCCACGCTGCCTGCACCCCATGCTGCCTGCACCCCTGCCTGCACCTCTGCAGGTCTTTGTTCCGGGAGCTCGGTGTCCAAGGCACATGTAGCAATACTTTGTAAAGGTGCAAAACAAGTGTCTACTGAGAAAAGCGACCATAACTTGTACGTTTTTATTGCTTCTCTGTTTTACAGCAATAGCCCCACTTTTCCCTCGCAAGGCTTGAATGCTGGCCAGGGTTAATTGTGATGAACTCTGGTTCCTGCCTAAAGTCATCATCGCTGGTACTTGTCCAGCCATCTCAACTGAAAATGAATGTGTTTCAGATGAGTCCCATCGGGATGTCCAGCCTGGATGGCAACCAGCAGCTGCTCCTGGCCACCGCAGTGCCAGCTGGCTGGACATGGGGCTCCAGCCATCAGCTGCAGAGCTGCGCGGCAGCAGGGGGGTGGCTGCTCCTCCTTGTATGTTTGGGACTTGCTGGGGCCCAGGGCTGAGGCTCGCTGGCAGAATGCCTTTCCTCTGTTGCACGGCTCCCATATGGCCAAGGGGATGTGGGGACAGACAGCCCTGCTGCCCACCTGCACCCGGGGCTGCTTCCCCACTTCCAGGAGATCCAGGAGCTAGTAACCTGCCTGGGGGTTATCAAAGCCCAGAGGCTGAACTGACAACAGGTCAGATGATAATTAGAATGAAAAACTGAACCAGTCCCGAATTCCCAGTGTCATGAATCCTCCCAAATTCGGTTGCTGCTTGGACAAAAACCTTTGGAACAAAGGACCCCCCCTGGAAAACTTGATTTTAGAGTGGCAGCTGGCCGCACGGGACAGTCCATGCTCTGGCCAATGCAGACCAGGGCAAGATCCTGGTTGGGATCACTCTGCTCCCAAGTGGATCGATGACTCAGCTCCTCCAGAGGGACTGTGGCTGCTGGCACAGTGTGTTGGGTGAGTGTGTAAAGCCAACACCTTGGGAGGGTCCACAGGGCACCTGGGGTGCTACTGGCATTGTGACCACCCCACCTGCCTGGCTGGGTGGGCTTGGTGCATGGTGCCTGGCCAGACACGGCATGACTGCCTTCCTCTGTGCTTGGCTGCAGCCCCACCATCTTCCTCCGGCCCAGGAAGGTGCAAGGCTGATGTTTGGCCAAGGCTCTCCCGGTACCGTGCCTGCTCTGGCTCTGCTGGGGCAGCCCCCATGTCCCTCCCAAAGCTGCTATGCGGGGCAGCCTTGCTCCCTACCCAAGGGCAGACGCGGTGCAGAGGGCATTGCTCTGCCCGCGCTCTGCTGTGGTTTTGGCTCCTGCTCTCAGCCTGTGCCCTTCGGTTCTCGCTTCCCTCTGGCTGCAAGTCACGCACTGGCACCATCACCCAGAGGAAGCGGTGTTTCCCCGGCCCTGCCAAATGACAGTTTGGGCAGCACCAGGGATGCTGTGTGGGTGAGGGGGCAGACGAGCTGAATTCAGGCAAATGTCTGAAGTGAGCTGTGCTTTGAGGACAAACTACTGCAGAGAGAAGAATCAGCTCAGTGAGAGTTGTTGTGTGCAGGAATGGAGAAATTAAGCAGATTTCTGTAATTGCTCAGCCTCGTTCTTAACTCTGCTGTGAGCACGACACACAGCGAGTGCCCCGGTGAGTGGCTCCGAGAGATTTATGTAACGTGCACCTAAACCACAGGTCACGTGCCCGGCTTTCCGGGCTCCTACGTTCTCCTCGCTCGCAGGGGTGAGTGTTCTGCAGCTTCCTCGGCCACACACAGCTTCCAGCGCAGCTGGTGTAACGCCCCGCTGGCATGGCTCTGAGACGGCTCATCCAGCAGAACCACAACGCCAACCTCGTGGGCTTCAGTGCTGGCTCCGCCGGGCAGGAGCAGGCTCTGCCGATGGACACCAGGAGGATCCAGCACCTGGCCAACACGGTGGGGACGCTGCCCCGCGGGCACAAGCAGGTACGGGGTCGAGCTCCAGGAGATTGACAGCTTCTTTCTGCCCGGAGAGCTGCCCACATCCGCAGGTCCCAGTGGGAACTGCCAAGTTTCCCCTGGTGACGGTGCTGGTTCTCCGTGGAGCCGTGCGGTTCCTGGCCTCAGGGTGCTAGCAGGACTGCTGCCGGGCGCCTTTAGCCTGGCTGGGTTGGGGACTGCAACGGACTCTGCAAGTGCTGCAGCCCGGGAAGCTCCCGAGGGGAGCGAGCAGAAGGGCGTTCGTCCAGGGGCTTCTGCATGAAGCACTTTTGCAGCCAAGCTCCTGCCCCGGCGGCGTTTCTTCTCCGTTCGCAGCAGTGCTGTGAGCCAAAGGAGGCTCTGGCTGGCTGGGTGTTCCTTTGAACTTGCACTTACTTCGGTGTAGTGGCCTCAGTGCACTGGCCTTTGTTCTGCAGTGCTGACAGAAAGCACCTACCGTGAGTGATTTCCATGTGGATTTTGGAGTATTTTGCCATCGGGGCTGGTTGGGCTGTCTCTCTCATCTGGGCTTTTCTCCCAGAACTGCACAGCACATTTGTGCGCATTTCTGCTGTTTGCAACTGGATTCCTGTGAAGATGATCTGAGGGCTGGAGCACCTCTGCTATGGAGACAGGCTGGGAGAGTTGGGGCTGTTCAGCCTGGAGAAGAGAAGGCTCCAGGGAGACCTTCCAGCACCTTCCAGTACCTAAAGGGGCTACAGAAAAGCTGGAGAGGGGCTTTGGACAAGGGTGTGGAGTGACGGGACATGGGGCAATGGCTTTAAACTGAAAGAGGGCAGATTTAGATGAGATCTAAGGAAGAAATTCTTCCCTCTGAGAAGTTGTGGCTGCCCCATCCCTGGAAGTGTTCAAGGCCAGGCTGGATGGGGCTTTGAGCAACCTGGTGTACTGGAGGGTGTCCCTGCCCCTGGCAGTGGGGTTGGAACTGGATGGTCTTGAAGGTCCCTTCCAGCCCAAACCATTCTATGGTTTGATCAGAGCTCTCTCTTGCTGTTGCTGTAAATTCCCAGCTGAGCAATTCCAGCTTTGGTCTATTTGTCCAAGAGGGAGAAGCCTGAATAGCGAATGTTTGAGACACATTATCATCTGACAGTGATATTAGCAATAATAGAGGTTAATGGGAATGACGGCAATCCCTGGCCTTCGAAATCTTAGACCCTCACCCATTTTAGCGTTTTGAAGGGTCCCCACTGTCAGAGAGGTGCCCTGGTGCCCTGTGCCCACCAGCCCCTCGCCCTGCACATCCCGAGGAGGAGCAGCCCCCCCGCAGCCGTGGCACGAGCTGCGGCCCCGCTGGCCCCTCGCTCCCACAGCGACCGCAATAAAGCAAAGTGACCTGCAAAGAAGGAGAATTCCTTCTCTTATTTGAAAACTCAAGGCTGCCGTGGAGGGTTGGTGGCTTTTTTAATTATGCAAAACAAGAGAAGAGGATGGTGGAGGCTGGAAGGACTGGAGGGAGTGCCACTGCTGCTGCCCTCTTGGATGTGGGTTCTGCTTGAGTGGTCGTGCCTCTTGTCTTCCCCATTTCTGCTGTCCTCAGAAATACACCTCCAGCGGTTTCGGGAACAGTTCCCTGCTCCAAGCACTTTTACCATCAGAAAATTTTTCTTGGGATTCAACCTGAATTTTCCCACTTGTTCTCATGCTTTTTCACAGCAACCTCTACCACCCTAAATAGCACCTTCCCACTGCAGGGTCTTCCAGCTGGGATTACTGTGGGGGTCTCCCAGCAGAGTTGCTGCTGGTTCCAGACCTCTCCCTTTCCAAAGTAGGTCTTTGGGAGTTTCTGGAAGCTAATTGTGAAGATTTCAAATTTTCACCCCTGCACAAAAAAAGCCTTGCGTTGCTTCATTGTATATTGGCTGGTGGTAGCTCAGCTCTCAATTTTAACTCACTGCAGGGAAGATCGGATAGCTGGCGGGTGGCCAGTTTCTTCAGCTAAAGTTGGAACAGGTACCACATCACCCTGTCCCAATGAGGATGCCCAGGCGTTTTCTGGAGGTGAACGACTGAAACAACGTTTTGATGTCCTAAGAGTACCCATGTTTGGGTTTTTTTTTTTATTTTATTTTGGAAATACTCCATTTATTTGCAAATACTCAATTTCATATTTAAAAGGTTTGGAAAAATGGAAGGGCTGATGTATAGCCAGTTTTCCAGGGCTTAATTGCCAACATAATAGAAACAAACACGCATTCCTTCAACAGCCGCCCCTCGCGGGTCGATGCCATCCTTCACAACAGAACGTGTCGTGTCGCAGCCGACGCTTCGTCTCGCAGCGATGCCCGTTGGACATCCCCCCCGGGCGTTGGTATCAGACCTGTTACTGTGCCAAATTACTCCTTGGAAAGGAGCCGTAGGGCGGAGGGGCGGCATGGGGAGGGAGACTGCCTGGGCAGGAGGGAGCACCTTCTCCAGGCTCTGCCGGCAGCAGTCCGCGTGCCCAGAGGTCGTTGCTGTTGGCAGCTGACTGCTTGTGCCCAGCTGGGCTCGCTGTCACCATCCAAAAGGTGGCTTTGAATGGGACCATGAGTTGTCTTGTGTCCTGGACCTGACTGTGCTTCCTCGTGCTCTGGAAGTTTAAGTTCTCGGCTGACTGAGGGAGAAGGCTGCATTGGTGCAAGGTGGGGGTGGGGTGCCACCAGCTGTTTTAGTTTTTCTCCAAATGGCTGATTTTAGCCATGTGCCTCGAAGAACCATGAACCTACTGACCCTTTTTTACTCCCGTTTCTGGTTGCAGCTTGCCTTAACCAGATCCAGCTCCTTGGGTGACTCCTCCAGGCCACAAAGGTAGGGATACAGTCTTCTATCATCACTGTTATTTACTTATTCTGCATGAAACGTGTGTCCTGGGAACCTTCCTGTTTAGCAGCCCTGGTGGGATAAGGATGCGAGGCAGAGTGGTACCCAACACCCGGGACGTGCAGGTGAAATTGTGACATTAACTTGAGTAAGGAAAGATCAAGCACCAGCACTGCAGCATTGCAGGGAAGGTGTGCTGGCACCCTGCTAGCATGGGGGGCAGCAACAACGGGGACACGATGGGTTTTGTTAGAAATGTGGAGTGCACGAAGCTCCGTACCCTAGTGCTCACATGGAATTCTGTGTATTCTTCTTACAGACACCTTGTCGCTATATTAAAAGAAGATAAAGAGACGTTTGGGTTTGAAATCCAGGTAAGAGTTTAATGACAAGTTGATTCACTTAAAAATAAAATATGGTGTCACATCCTCCAAATTAGGTTAAGACAGCATAGAGCACAGAGAAAGGTATTTGTCAGTGATGATACAGAAATAGGATGCATTTCCAAGGATTTTTTCATAGAGAAGGTCACAGATGAGAAATTCTGGCCTTCTTACAAGTCAGAGCATTGAATGTAGGAGAAATCTCATCCAAATCCAAATATGAGGCAACCGCAATGCCTTCTTACTTCCATAAGTGAGTATTTTTTGGGAGAACTGGTTATAAGGATATTTTCATATAAAAAGAGAGAGATCAAAAAACGCTCTCTCCAAAAAAACTCTTTCCAAAAAACCTCTCTCTCCAAAAAAACCCTTATGCTAGCATTTTACTGCCTCCTTTAACATATACAGACATATGTATTTTTGAAGTAGATGTACACTGTTTGTATGTTTTTAAATAAATAACTGCTAAGCATGACTTTGGGGAGGCTAAATCATATAGGAAGAAATTCTGTTAGATGTAGAAGTCAGTAAATCATCAAATAGGAAACTCAGAATCTTATCAGGAGTCCTGCTAACAGAAGATATTTTGTTCTGCATATTTCTGTGACATCAGTAGGCTGGCTAAAATCTTGGCTGTAGATAAAAAATACTCCCAGTACTACAAGATATAGTTTTGGGAGCAGGGGGTTGTGGCACACCTGCCGGCGGGACCCGCGGGCAGGAGCCCGTGCCGTGAGCCAGTGCCCGCCAGACCCTCCCACGTCGCCGCTCTGTTTCCTTCCCTGCCGCGCCAAAGCACTTGCCAGTATCTGTGCACAAAGGGAAAATAGTGTTTCCAGTTAAATTGGTGTATTAGGCAGAGCTTAACTTCCCCAGATTTGGTTCTGTGACTAATGAGCGGGTGAGCGTTCAGCTCGTGAACAGTGGAGAGCTTTCAGAAGGGAGGATAATTGAGTCAATTATTGGGCTTTTATATAAATTGCCAGGGCAGATTTTCATTGTATGTGACATTCTGATTAAAAATAATTGTTCGTGGCGTATTTTCTTCCTGAACGTACATTCAGCGTGAGCACTTCACTAGAAAGTCCAGGCTACGGGAAGGCAGCACCTGCCTGATACTAAGGATAAACCATTATTTAGAAGCTGTAGTTTCATTACTGCCGGTTAAATTTAGGCAAACCAGAATAAGATGATGTGAAACTCGAGGTCTGTCATCTGCAGGGAGCTCATGAGAACTGCAGCAATGGCTGAACGCCAGAGCTTCTCGCGTGCTGCTGCTGCTTCTCCTACTTCCCACCCGCGGGTCGGAGCCTGGGGCCGAGACGGATGCCGAGTGGCTCTCAGCATGCCGAGGTCTTTGCAGAGCAGCTGCCCTGTAGCACGTCTCTCCCCTCCCTGCAGCCACCTAAAGCTAGGTGTCCCCTCCAAGACCATGGCCCATCTGTCCTCTGCAGTCCGTGAGGGGAAGGTGGTGCAGGGGAGGGAAGTCCATCCTTCCAGTAGGAAGTGCTTCTCTTGGGGCCACCAGCCCTGGAGATGTCTGCCTGTCCCGGTGACTATGGTGGGGACGTCGAGACGCCTACATCCAGGTGGCTCCAGCTGGGAGTGATGAATCCCATCCTGTTTGTCCAGCTTGCATTGCTCAAGCTGGCCCAACCTTTCAGTTTCTGAAATAGGCCAAAGAAAAAAAGACAAGCGTGATCTGCAGTGGCACGTCCTCCAAGACCCTCACGCTTCACTTGGCACTCTTAGTTTAGCTGAAACTTTTACTGTTGGTCTGCTGTTGGCTGAGATCACTGCACCAGTGTGATTTGGTCCAGTAAGCTCTGAACTCACCCTGTTCTTCATCCCTATTAGTTCCACACTGACTGAGAAACTTGGGAATCTAACAAGAGTTCTTACGGCTGGGTTAGATGTGGCTGTCATAGGTTTTCAGGAAGTTCAGCTTCAGTCTCAATTTTTGGTAGGAGGATGCGGCTAAACACTGATATTTGTGTGTCACCGAGAAGACGTTTCCTGTGGCTGCGAGATGTGGTCGGGTTGCGTCGCTGCTTTGGCGTTTCTCTGAATACGTGTCAGCACTGAGGGTCACACGAGGGATTTATACGCAGAATTACTTAATGGATAAGTCAAGAAGAAGAAGCACTTTCGAGGGGGCACAGGGACGTGTGTGGATAATGAGTCTAAGAGACCGAAAGAGCAAAAGTAGGTTCTGCTCTTCCTGCTTTGCAGTTCTTGTTGTGAACTGATGGGCTCGGCAGCACCAGCTGACATCACGCAGCACCAGCTGACGTCACGCAGCACTCATGGCGAGTGGGAGTTGGTCACTTGAGAGGCCGCGGTCACTCCCTGCCGTGCTGTGCCTGGGAACATGAAGCACCTTCCAGAAAGCAATCCACATCCATCAAGATGTTCTTGACTCAAGTTACCGAGTTTTTGATAATGAATAACCAGCTTGCTTAAAAACCAAGTTTTTTTTTTGTAAAAGCAACGTACAGGTATCTGCCAGGTGTCTGCTGTTCTCTATCGTAAGAATGCAATTTCTAGTTGTTAGATCATAAAGTTTTGGTGTTCTCATATTCATGATAATATACCCTGCTCATCGCAGCCTTCTCATTTAAAAAATGTGTAAAAAGACTATGAGTTTTTAAATTGTTTTCATGGGTTTAGTGCCAGTAATGCTGTCACTTTGGTGTTCACAGACTATCAGATTTCCGCACCAAAATGATTACTCCCTGGAGGTGTGCACTTGCGTCTGCAAAGTTCAAGAAGAAAGTCCTGCCCATCTTTCTGGCCTTCAAACTGGTAACTGCTCCTGGTTGTTCCCTGCTGTGGGTGGCCTTACCTTGCTTTTCTCCCAAATACCTTTATTGGAGAGCATGTGTAAGGCACACGTGCGCTGCAGATGCTCATTGTCGCCTCTGCGTACCTCTAACAGGCGACATCCTCTCCAGCATCAATGGCGTGAACACCGATGGCTTTAGTCACAAGCAAATAGTAGACTTGATAAAGTCTTCGGGGAACTATCTAAGGTAGGCGTCCCTCCTTCCCGTGGTTTTTAGCCCAGCAGTCTCTCCCACTGGAAGCCAAGAAAGCTTCTGGTGCTTCCATGCGGTCCTGGGGTGCCTCTGGGGCAGAAAGCCCCGTGGGTCTGGGCGTGCAACATCATGCTCCTGCTGCAGGGGAGGGCTTGGGAGGGAGGGGAGGGTCAGGGAAGGTGCCCCAGAGTTGCCTCTCCCCGGTCTTTTTTCTCTCACCCCTGCCACATGTTTGCTCCTCTTGCACCAGCACCGTTGTGGCTGAAGGCAGCCATGGTGGAGAGGGGTTGGATGGACGGCGTGGTCCCCGTCCCCTGTGCGCGACTGCTCCCCATGGACCCCGCAGCGGAACGTGCTGCGGTGTGATGTGATGCAGTGCGATGTGATGCGGTGCGATGTGATGCGGTGCGATGTGATGCGATACGGTGCGATGCAGTGTGGTGCGGCGCAGTGTGATGCGATGTGGTGCGGTGCAATGCGATGCGGTGCAGTGTGATGCGGTGTGATGCGATGTGGTACGATGTGATGCGATATGGTGTGATGCAGTGTGATGCGGTGCAGTGTGATGTGATGTGGTGCAGTGTGATGCGGTGCAATGTGATGCGGTGCAGTGTGATGCGGTGCAACGCGATGTGGTAGGATGTGATGCAGGGTCCGGCAGCCCTTGCAGCGCTCAGCACTCCTCTCCACTTTGATGTCAACATCATCTGTTCTTTTCAGGTTAGAGACTGTCAATGGGGCCATGTTTCGGAGGAAAATGGAGCTGGAGACCAAGCTGCAGTTACTGAAGGTAATGAATTAGTTAATCCTTCGTCAAACGCAGAGGGCTGTTACGGATTCTTTGCTAATGGGGGTAGGTGGGTGTCCTGGCAGGGGCAGACACCCGTGTGTCCTCTGCCACCAGCACCCCCACCCACAGTCCCGCTAATATTCTCTGTAATTTTTTTTAATAATATTTTCCCCACAATGGTTTCTGTAACTCTCTCAATGTTTCCGTTCCATCTCAGCAGTGCCCAGCTGGCAGGCAGTCCTCTCTGTCAAACACAGCAGCCTGGCTGATGCACTCTGTGTTCAGCAAGCGGGCAAGGCAGGCTCTCGCGAGCAGAGCTCGGGCTTGCAGGGACGGCGTGCAGAGGGACGGCGTGCAGAGGGACAGCGTGCTGGCAGCAGCTCCGGCTTGCAGAGCTGCTGTTCGCCTGGCAGAGCCCAGCCAGTCGGGCCAGGAGCTGGTTTTTGGGTGCCAGCACCCCGCCGTGCCTCTCCACTCGCCCCAGGTGCCACAAGGACTGGGGCTTTCCGACAGCGGGGCTCGGTCGACCTGAGTGAGGGGTTTTTCCGTACAGCAACTCTGTGCTGAAAACCTCCGCGCAGGAGTATGGTGCTTTAAAAAGTGTGTTGAGATTCATCTGGCTGGAATAAACCGCGTGCCAAATGGGTCAGGTGTGCCAGAGCTGAGCTGCAGGGACCGGGTTTGCCATATGTGCCATTGCCCATGAAATGTAAGTCCTGCCACGGGGGCCGTTTCTTCTTTAGTATTTGGCATGTTTAAAGCAATGTTTATTTAATTTGGTTTGTGCTGCGTTTATAAGAGTACAGCACGTGGTGTCGTAATCTGCTGCACGACATCGATGCTGTGCAGGATGTGACCGGTGGCCACGGGTCTGGCCGGGGGTGCCAAGGGCAGTGTCTGGCTGGCTGGGCCGTATCTTGGTCTGCATCTCTTCAGCCTAGAAGATGGGCAGCAGGGAGGAGACCAGGGCGAGACCTCCGTGAGCTCAGTTTCCCCTCCAAGGCTTGTTAGACTGATGGGGGCTATGGAGGATGCTTTTGGAAATAGCTGAGATGGGAATAGTGTTGGTCCCCAGAGCCAGAGAGTTCGTCGCTGTGTTACTGGGAAGGCAGCAGCAGGATGCTTTCATCCCAGCCATGGCCAGTGCTCCATGGCAAGCTGTTTGCTCTGGTCCCTTAGAAATCTGGGTGAAACAACCGGTAAAGTCATCAGAAATGGGCCACCCGCCCCAACCCTGTCCCTTTCCAGGGAAATTATAAAGCCAAAATCTCAAAAATCTGCTGTGAAATGCTGTGTTTCAAGAAGGGAGTTTTTCGGTAACAGCTGTTTCCCAGAAGTGCCCAACCTCTGTGACAAGCATCGTTACAGGGTAAAACACGGGTGTGTGCCTGACCCTGTGCCCGCATGCCAGGGTGGCTGCTGCAGAAAGAACCCGATTCTCTTTGTGACTGTCTCCGGTGCCTTGCTGAAGGGTGTGCTCCGTCGCTGCCAATCACCATGACCGCAGCAAGACGGGGCTGTGCCCGTGAGCACCAAGGGGCACAGATTGGGATGTGTTGGACGTGCGGTTGTGTGGGGCACCGCAGCCGTGACACGTGCCCCACAGCACCCACTGCCACTGTGCCACTGGAACGGCGTCCTGGAGCCGTGGGGGTCGTTTTGCCTCCCCCCCCCGCCACTGGTGCACTTTAATTAGATGGGCGAAACCAGGAGTAGGAGGTGGTCACTCTTCTAGTTGGGTCGGGGTAGGGATACAGAAAATCTTTTGTTGACCTGTTGGTTTCTTTTTCTTTTGAATCAACTGAGCAATAGTTTATTTTCACACCCAAAGCTGACCTGCCACAGAGGGAAAGAAAAGCACAGCTCACTGTCGGCTGCGTGTAGCGCTTAGAGGTGGTCAGGGTCTTTACTGGGGTGAGGGGTGGGCAGCCGTGCCAGCCCTGCGCCACGCAGCAGGACGCAGGGGTGAGGAGCGGGATGCTGGCGATGGGTCAGGGTCGGTGGGGCTGGGGGCG